GCTTCCGTCGCCAAGTTTATTTGTTTGTCATTTTCTAATATTTTATTCGCTTTGTTGTTATCTTCGTATTTGTCAACTTTTGGCTGAGTTTCCTCAAACATCTTCTCTGCGCCATTGGAAAGCTCCAGATCTGTCTGACCGTAAAGAGCCAACATCTGTCCATCAAGACCTTTTTCAGTCTCATAATATTGTCTCTCGGTTTCACTTACTTCAACCTCGTCCTTTCCTTCTTCTGGCTTAAATTTCTCTACTTGGCACATAGTTTTTGCTTCTTCGTCTGCTTCCGACCATGCCGTAAGGACTGAGGCGGCCTCCACTATTTCTAGCTTCTCATTCTCATTCTCCTTCCATTCACATGCATCATAACGAGAAATCTGTATGTCGACGTCCGAACATGTATTCAAAGCAGCAACCTCTTCTCTTTCATTACAAGAAGAGGAGATTTCATCGGCTATTTCTTCATCTTTGGTAGTAATTTTATTCCACACTTCTGTTCCTTGGTGTAAAACCTCCTCATCTCTATCAATGTCTAGCAGTGTATTTGAAACTTCTTCAGCTTTGTTCCACCGTTCTGGTTCTTCTGCAGCCTTTTCCTCACTCTGCTCCTCTAACTGGCCGTCTGAGGGAAGCTCTTCTGATGGTACCATCATCATATTGGCTTCAACTCTATGAAACTCTTCTATTAGGGCATTTGTATCTGCCTTAGCAGCATTCGTATTTTCCTGTGCTCTAAACGCAAATAGAGACGGGTCAACTATCTGAGCTGAGTCAGTCAAATGTGGATCAACCCCTACTGCGCCCATTTCACCTACATGGCGTTCATCCAATGGCAAAGCGAAAGGTATTGTTACCACTGAATTAATGGATTTCGTGTAAGGCTGATCCATGTCCTCATTAATAACAATATTATCTTTTAGATCGTTCTCCTCGTGCGGCAGCTCTATCTCATCCTTCAGCTCTTCCTCATCTTTCTCCAAGAGCTGTCTGTCAGACCAACCCCAGGGTTCATTGGCCTCATCAATGTCTGCATCAGCATCGGTATCAAGTTTGTTTGTATGTGTCACCACGTGAACAGGATATGGATTCTCGGAATCAACATTATCTGTTTGCGGAAAAATGTTGGTCTCGAATCGCATATATGATTCATCCCTCTGAGTCAGTCCTTCCTCTTCATTTATACCCAAGTTGTCTAGCATAAGCTCCTCCATTTTGACAGAAGCAACCGTTTGGGATGCTGGATCGCAAAGCTGCCATGATGTCCTACTAACAACTTGTGTTTCTTCTTTCATGTCAACCAACAAATCATCAGCAGTAGGGATGTTCGTCTCCTCCTTCTGTAGTGAGTTTACTGAAGCCAAACCATCCATATATTGCTCGTCCTCCAGCTTAGCTGCTTGAAGGATATCAGCATCTATGCTTACCGTGTCAGCAGTCAATTCTACGTAATTTTTATCATGTTCTTTATATTTTTCGGAATTTCTTTCAGATTTAATTTGGTAATCACCAATCACTTCCATTTTGTAAGAAT